ATCACTCTCAGGCCCCTCCCTCACGACTCCAGCTCCAGGCAAGGACGTCCCCAGCCCCTCCACTTTTCCTTGTAACATCACCCCATCCTGGGCTACCTTGCCAGGCCGGGCCGGGGCGGGGCCGCGGGCAGCCTGGAACCCGTTGAGCGCCAACCGACGACTCAGTCCCCAACGTGATAAACACAGCCAGACTCGATTCTTCCGGCGGGCAGCTGTGTGCGCATGTGCAATCAGAGTTAAGTTCCGGCGGCCTACCGGGACTTGTAGTCCACCGGTTTCGGCAGGGACGCGAGGTGCTGAGCAGTGGACAGGCGCGCAGAGATTCTACGCATGTGCAGAGATGTTAAAAAAAAACACACACAACGCCGTGGGGGTCACTGGGTAATGTAGTTCTTTGTTGTCTAGGCCGGAGGCGGGGTAAGGGGCGGAGTCGTTGTCCTCTCTCCTGTCATTCAAGAGCACTGGGCGGGGCTGGAGGACTGGGCTCCCAAGCACGTCCTGCCCCGCCGGAAGTGAAGGTGCGGGTTCGGCAGCGGGCTCTGAGCGGGTGAGGCGCGCGGGAACACCGGCGCGGACAATCGGTGGGGTTGGGTGGGGAACGCCGCAGCTGGGGCCATTTGAGGGCATCCCCTTGGGCCTGAAGGGCGTTTGTCAGGTGGTACAGGGGGAACCCCATTGAGAGGGAAGAAGGGAAAGGGTACGCCCTGTCTGGGGGAGCTTGTTTGGCGAGCCGGAGTTCACAAGTCAGGAGTGGGGACGGGAAGGCGGGGTTCTGGAAGGGGTGTGTTTTGGGAGATAGCTTAGCCTCCAGTTGGGCTGTTATTTAAGAAATGGCAGAGGAAGGCGGGTGGGCCTCGGTTCGAAATAAGAGCTGACTTAAAAGGTAAAGGGCCCAGGAGATGCTGGAATGAGGCGGGATGCAGAAGGTTGGGGCGTTTAAATGTTTTGTGGACAATGAAGGAGATCACAAGGAACTGGATGAGAGGCTGAATGTACATTTGATTTCATAAGATCCCTTTCCTACCTCCCTGTTCTTGCAGCCCCTGCCCGGATGGCAGCAGTAGTTCTAGGGGGAGACACCATGGGCCCTGAGCGTATCTTCCCCAATCAGACTGAAGAACTAGGGCCTCACCAGGGCCCTACAGAAGGCACTGGGGATTGGAGCAGTGAGGAGCCTGAGGAAGAGCAGGAGGAAACCGGAGCAGGCCCAGCTGGCTACTCCTACCAGCCCCTGAACCAAGATCCTGAACCAGAGGAGGTGGAGCTGGCACCAGTGGGAGATGGAGAAGATGTAGTTGCCGATATCCAGGATCGGATCCAGGTACGGTGGAGAAGGCATTGTTCCTGAGCAGGTGAAGTTGGGATCCTTGAACGGCTGGCCCTGAACTGTCTTCTCTCTGGCTGTTCAGGCCCTGGGGCTTCACTTGCCAGACCCACCATTAGAGAGTGAGGATGAAGACGAGGAGGGAGCTACAGCATTGAGCAACCACAGCTCTATTCCCATGGACCCAGGTAAGAGAGAATTTTTTTCATTGTGGAATAATTATGGAGGAAAGGGTTTGGCCAGAGCCAATAGAAGTCATAGAGCAACACCCTGTTCCTAAAATGACAGTTTGTGATGTAATTTTTTGCAGACTTCAGAATCCAGGTGAAATGCTATTCTGCTAGACTTGGGAATGGACGGCTTGCCTAGAAATAACTGATAGATTTAGTGATTTTACTGGCCCAGTGGCTCTGAGTTAATTCAAGGAATGGGAAGGGGAACTGGTCCCATTGTTCCTATCCTCTAATTGGTCTCTAATTTCAGAACACGTAGAGCTGGTGAAAAGGACGATGGCTGGAGTAAGCCTGCCTGCACCAGGAGTTCCTGCCTGGGCTCGGGAGATATCAGATGCCCAGTGGGAAGACGTGGTACAGAAGGCTCTCCAAGCCCGGCAGGCATCCCCTGCCTGGAAGTGACCACTTTGAGAGCTGCCTTATCTCCCTGCATCCCACTGGAACCAGCACAGGACTGAACACATTCCTGGTTGTAATGCCCATCTCCCTTTCCACATCAAGGCAAATCAGACTTCTTCTCAGAGACCCACTTTATTCAGTTCTGTACATATGGGGACATTGGCCCAAGCCCAACCCATTGTAGCATGTATCACTCTGGAGAATAAAGCACCCTATGTACACAGCCAGAAGCTGCACTGCCTGTGCCCCTGGAACCCGGGTCTGGCTCTCCTAAGCCCCTTGCTCCTCCGTGGTGCCTGAAAGGGACAAGTAAGGGCCTGCCCAGCATTAGCACAAACAAGGAAATAAATAGGTGTTGGGGGGAGCCATGCTTAGGACACTGCTCCCTGCTTCCTTCCTTCTTAGCTTTGCAAACCAATAGCACAGGAAAGCAGTCAGCCCCAGGTGGTCCCTTCTGTGTCTGTGATCCCGGGGCTGCTGCTCACCAAAGGGGGCACAAGGTGGGGTGTTTGTTCATCCCTTATCTCCTGATCCATCTGGGCCCTTTATGCATTACCTGTTGTCCATAGCCTATGCAGTTCTCCTTTTGACCTCCCACATGATCCTGGTCAGGCAGGGGGTGAGAGGAAAGAATACAGGCCCCCCAGCCTGCACTCTGCTGGGGCTGGGGGCCTCTTTGTGCTGTTGGGGGTTGGTGCCCCTCCAGCTACTGACTTCAGGGGCCAATGGGGCTTGACATAACTTTGGTGAGAATATTCTCCTGCTGCTCCCTGTGTGCCTCTGCAGGGGAGGGAGAGGAGAGACCCCTGGAGTTCAAATGAGGATAAAGGGAAGAGGAAAGGAGCATATGTATTCCTCTGTGAATTTCAGAGCAGCCTCAGGTAGCTGTGGGGTTAGGAGCAAGAGGGGGACAGGCATCCCCAGTTGTCTGAGCACTAAGCATCTCAGTGCTCAGCCTGTCTGTACTAGCCCCTGGGAGGCATGAACACATTTTGGGGAGAAGAGGGACCACTCTGTGGGCATCCCTGCTTCGAGTGCTGCATCACCCTCCCTAGAGTAGCTAGAGAGGCACTGCCTTGCCCCAAGTCAGCCAGTAGGGAGCAGAGGGTGGAGGGCTAGGGCAGCGTCCCAGGGCTGAGTGGGCTGTGGCCCTGTGGAGGAAAGGTGAGGGCGTCAGAGAGCCTCCTGGCTGGCAGTTAAGAACTCTTCTGCCCGCTTGTGAGCCTCTAGCGCCTTAATGGTGTACACATCCTGGGGCAGCTCTGACTTCCTCCGAAGCAGCACTTTCTCCTTCTTCATGTCCTTTAGCATCTGTGTGTGGATACAGAGAAGGTGAGGAATGGTGACCAATTCCCAGTATATTCTATTGTTTCCCCTCATGCCTTGGCTCTGCTGCTCCTGTCTCCACCCCCTTCCAGAGCTGTCTTTATTTCTGCTTCCCCCTCCCTCTGTGCCCTGCCACCTGCACAGCTTCTGTCTCCACTGTCCTCTTCAGAAGCTGTATGTCCTCTGCTGTGGGGGTCTCTGTCTCCATCGAGTACACAGGGGGCAGTGGTGGTGGAGCTCGGAACATGGGATACTGAGAGGAAAGGAGGCATGGACAAGTGAGGAGGGCCACTTCGGAAGTCTGCGAACCTGTCTGCCTCTATTCCTCCCCAAACAAACCCTCTCCCCCCGCCGAAGATGGGCCCCTCAGTTCAGGGCCGTGGCAGAAAAACCTCACCTGGGGATTGAGTCGGGCCAGCTCTTCAATCTTTTGCCACATCTCTTCTCTTTCCTTCATTCGGAACCGGCCCCTGAGGGAGCAAAGAGGATTGGGGTTGAGTTTGAAAGGGAAGGAAAGATGCCCAGCCGGCAGCGTGGCTCAGCATTGAGCATCAACCTATGAACCCGGAGGTCGCCGTTTCATTCCGGGTCAGGGCATATGCCCAGGTTTCGGACTTGATCCCCAGCAGGGGGCGTGCAGGAGGCAGCTGGTCAATGACTCTCATCACGGATGTTTCTCTCTCTCCCTCTCCCTACTTCTCTCTGAAATCAATAAAAACTTATTTTTTAAAAAAGAGAAGCAAAGAGAAGCAAAGGGGCAGATGGTGGACGATCAAAGCTCCCCCAAGTAGAGACACTCACTTCTGCTTCTCTGCCTTGTATTGTTGTGTGCAGTCATCAAACAGCTTCTGATTCATCTCCATAAACAGCTTCAGGGCGTTGTAGATCAGTCCATGGATTGTCCTGCAACCAGAGAAAAGATGAGGTATAAGAGGCTGGAGTCTGCCCTCTAGTGCCAGGCCCCAATCTGCTCTCTCCTACGAGGTGTCTCTGCTAAGAGCTTTCTCATTTACTACTCCCATTTCACAAGCCTCTATACAGTGTAAGCTCATCTCTCTGGTCAATCATGTGACTTGAGATTGGCATTTCAGGGTCTTTACAAATATTGGTCTGCCTGTCCATCCTTCCCCTCACCCCATGCTCCAAGACCTACCTCCTTGCCACTACTCCCTGTGCTCCAGCCCACACGAACAGCCTCCCAGCAGCATGCTGTGCATCTGTACCACAGCATGCCTGCTTTTAGCAGGAAAGCCTTTTCCAACACTGAGATTCAACACATGCTAAGAAGATCATGTTACCTCCTTAGAGCATGGAATTAAGTCTCCAAAGCTGCAGAATGTCTAGCTGCAAGAAAAGGTGTAATACAGGCCACTGCTCTGCTGTTTGGTATCACAGAAATCTCTCACACAGGTATCTTTTTCCCCCAGTCACTCCCTCCAGGTCCTATCAACATACAATGGGCACCACACCCACTTGCAAAGCCACCAGATGAGACCATTGGCTCTTTAGGTCTTCCACACCCTCACAGGTTCCAAAACCAGAGCCCCACTGTCCAGCCCCACTGCAGCCCCTACTTGTTCCAGTGGCTCTTGGAGTTCCTGTAGAGTGCGGGGAACATGATGGGGAGGACTCGGGCAGCATTGTCACTTATCAGGCTCATGATGTACTCATTGTTCCAGTAATAGAGGGCACGCTCTGCCACCTGGTGGGGACAGGCAGGCAGGACTCAGTGAGGATACGACTTGCTTTGCTCAAGACCTCCCTCAGTTTCTGGGAGAGGGGCTGGGATATGCTGGTCTGGATCTCACCTGGAAATGGGGGCTGGAGACACACTTGGCAAGCTGGCGGAAGAGGGGGTCCATCACTTTGCTGAACTCTGAAGGTTCAATGACATCCAGAATCTCCTCCAGCTCATTCAGGAACATCACTTCCTTGGGGCTGTGAGTCTTCGGCCAGAACTTGAGAAGTCCCACAATCACCTGTGAGATGAGGAGGACATGGGGATAAAATTCTCTCTCAACACCCGCCTGGTTCTCCAGGAAGTCTTCCTCCCCCAACCCATGGTGGGTATAGCTTGGGTGGCTTCGGCTAACTGCTCGTGTTTCTCTGGCTTGGATCTGTTTCCTAGGTGTACACAGGTTTTCCTTCTCCTTCACAGAGGAAGCCATGTCACCTGTTGGGCTACATCCCTCTTGAGCACCTGCTTACAGCACTGCTCGGCAGATAAGAGATTGGCAAATGCTGCTCACAGAAGGAGGTGGACGCTGGGGCTTAGAAAGGGAATTACCGGCTCAGTGAGAGTGCTCTCCTTCTCCAGGAATTGTACCACACAGTATGCCAGCTGCAAAAGGTTGAGGTAGAAAGGAGGTGAGGTGCAGGGCCCAGGTCTCACGGAGGTCAGTGACAGAGGCAAGACCCCAAAATGGAAGAGGCGGCGTAGACAGGAATTATTCCACCCACTCCTTCTGCCTCCCCATCCAGCTAGAATACCTTCCCTCCCTGTCTTCTCTGCTGTCAGGATCAGGGATCAAGAGGAAGGCAGCTTACCTGAGGGTGGTAGACACTTAGGGACTTGACCTTGTGAAGGGGAAGCAGGACACGGATAAGGAACATCTTGTGCTCTTCCTTAAGGGGCAAGGCAAAGCCGTTGATGATGCTAGGAGTTAAAGGAGGTTTGTTAGGGCCAAAGGGCCTGGTCCAAGCTCAATGCACCAACCCTCCCAACCTTTTTTAGACATGTGTACCCCCACCTGACCTCTTACCTGCCCAAGATCTCCAGGAGCTCGGCAATCCCATTGTGATGCTCTGTCTCATAGATGAACCTGAGGGAAGAAAAAGGGTCTCTTGACAACCTGACGCCCTTCTGAAGTCCCCTCTACCTCCCTTCTGGGCCTGGGCTCCTGGCCTCACCTGTAGAAGATGTGGTTGATCTGCCTACGGATATAAGCTCGGAGCCCCAAAAACTTGCCATAGATTCGATGCAAGATGGTCTTGAGGAAGTCCCGCTCTCGAGGATCCTCACTGTCAAACAGGTCTAGGAGCTGGGAGCAGGCAGGAGGAAAGGCTGCGAGTGAGGCAGGAGCCGAGGAAGGAGGGGCTGAGGTGACATTGGGTCCTGGCTGGGAGAAGCCCAAGGGTTCTCTGGAGAGGGAGCTTGGGGACAAATCTCTGGAAGGAGTGATTCTGTTACACTGCTTCCTAAGATGACACCTGAACATGTATTTCTGCACACAGAGGGAGCAGGTAACTGTGTTGCTTTTTTGTTTCTTTCCATTATGCTGAAAGCTCCTAAGGGCAGAAGAGGTTTGTTTAACCCCCATAGTCTCCTATAGAGACACAGCTGAAACCCAGCATATTCGCAGGAGAAAGAGCAGCTGGGACTGGAGTGAGGGATATGGGGCCAGAGTCCATGCACTGGAAGGAGGAAGATGGGAACTTCACGGACTCACAGCAAGGACAAACTTCTGGTCAATGTACTTCTTGGCTATGTTTGGCTGGAAATCAGGAGACTCAAGGAAACGTAAGAAAAACTCATACACGAGCTGTGGAGGGAAAGGAACATTCACTAAAGGTTATTCCCCAAGGAGTGGGAGACACCCCTGGCTAGAGGCCTCAGAGTGCCCCAGTCCCTGCAGCTAGGGCCAACCTGCCCTTGCCCTGGTACCTGGAGATGTGGCCAGGCAGCTTCCAGGGTGGGCTCATCTTCCTCTGGGTCAAACTCGGCCCCAGTGGGATTTGATGAAGGTGGCAGTGTCCGGAAGAGGTTCACTGAAAACTGAGGGGTAGGGCCCAGGTGAGAGCTCTGTCTGGGCTGCTCCAGGACTGCCACCCTGCCCGCTTTCCCCTTTCCCTGTGCCCACCATGGTGACAGCCTCAGGGTAAATGGCCTCGGTGACAACATCCC